TAATGAGATCAATGGTGAGACCGATCGATCAGATCGACCAGGAACCCAGGAACCCAGAAACCTGGGAACCCGCCGCCCACAGAAATCGGCCCAGAACCAGCAACCGGGAACCCGGGAACCAAGAATCCGGGAACCCGGCCGCCCACCGAAATCGGCCGTCGACTTTCGCCAGCAGATCCTTCAAGATCCGCTAGGACCCCTTCAGTGCAAGCACTGATCGGGGAATTTCTGAAGGCGCGCGTCGCCCAGGATGGGCCGCCGCACACAGGCAATATACGGTCGGGAACTGTTCCTTAGCGTGTCGTGCACCGCAACGGATCTCGTGTTGCTCGGCTCCGCAGGGCGGGAAGCTGGGGAAGGCTCGGACCGTTCGCGCCTTGGGAATCAGGACGTGGTTAACCGCGTCGAAGTGTGGAAAGTTAGGAATAGTGGCGCGACACGCACAGCAAACGTTTCCGACCGTACCTACCCAAGTCTCGAACGTCGATGACCCCTGTAAGGTCATAACTCGGCTCTCCCGCGGCCGTTCACCGGGACGATCCGGGTACCCTCCAGAACGCCTCCGACGAGGCGGAGCTGCCGGAATGCACCCTGAGGCTGGATATCCTCATTCATCACCTCCCCCTTCTCCCTCCTCCCTCCTCGTCCTCTTCGCTCGCCCTCCTCATCCCTCTGATCCTCCTATTTGTCCTACTCCTCCTCGTCCCCTCCCCCCTCCTCCCCTCCTCCTCCCTCCTCCTCCCCCCTCCTCATCCTGACATACAAATCCTCCTCGCCTCTCCTCTCCTATCCTCTCTTCTCTTCTCCTCGTCCCCATCCTCCCTTCCCGTCCTCATCATCACCATCATCAAAGCCATCACCATGGTCATCCTCGCCATCCATGTCCCATTCCTGCTGATCCTCGTCGTCATCCCAGTCCTGTCCGCTCCATCGCACATCCGCCGCCACCAAATTCCCTTCTGGTCTCATCCTCCTTCCCCTTTCGTCTGCTCCTCCTCTTCCTGATCTGTCTCCTCGCCCTGTTTCATTTCTTCTTCTCGTGCTCTTTCGCATCATTCTCCTCGTCCTCGCCTCCCCATCGTCATTCTCCAAGTGTGGCTGCGCCACGCACACGCACAAATGGGCATCGGCAATAATGCCCGTGGGGCCTTCATCCTCCTCCTCCTCCTCCTCCTCCTCCACCTGCTTACCGTTAGAATCCCAATCCCCTCACTCGTCCCACTGCCTATCCCAGTTGGCGTGAGATGTGAAATAAAATGAGGTCCAAGGTGGCACACATCTTGGGTAGGCAAGCGCGCATGGTGTATTGCGATACGAGACTCGACAATGTACGCAACTGCACGTGGTAGGAGCAAGACGCCCCTGGCAATGCAAGGCTTCAGAGTGGAGGCGCTGCGACATGTGCCATGGTGTTCAATGAATACGCATAGCAGCACAGCATCCTCAATGAAACAAGCCTCAGACATCTCATGCTGTGAAGCCGTTCTGCGGCTCGTGGGGGGGAAGGGAACGAGCAGGGCGAGGATCTGGCTTCTGGGTGCTCTTTTTTTACTTGACAGGACCAACGACTAGGTGGGTTGCAATAAAAGAACGGCAGTGCACACAATTCAAACAGAGTGGAATGGTCGGAGTGGTTATCGGGCGCTGCCAGACGCAGTCCTTGGCACAAGGTGACCCCAGCTTTTCACAAAGGGGGCCCACGGCCTCCAGAGCACCCGCACGAGGCTCCGAGAACCAAAAGGGGTTAGGAATTGAGCGAAACGCTGGAGGCGCCTCGGGCCAGGATTACCCCTGGTCCCCCCCGAGGTCAGGGCACCTCATGACCACACCCCCTGGGACCATCAAGGGGAATGGATGTCTGGTTCGAATCACGTTAGACCCGATCTCTGGTGGGAAACCTGCCGCTCGAGCGCGTGCGACCCGGAGTAGCCACAAGCATCTCCCGCACGGCTGGCTGACAGGATGGCGTCTGCAGGCATGTCGGATAAGTGGAAAAGTAAGGTGAGAGCGACAGGCGCTGGCGCGCACCGCTGGGACTACCAGCAGCGAGGCAACGGCGGAACATCAGCTAGAAAGCAAACACCCAGAGGGCTGGCCGGATGGTAAGCCTGGGGACGGGGGCAACGATACCAGGAACCTCGAAACTCGCATGGCTGGATTCTTAGCTGAAGCCGCGCGCTGCATATACTGGCGAAGCCCAACGTGCCTGGCTGGCCATAGAAGGGCCAAACACAAGAAAGACGTGTGGCCACACATGTGTACCAAACTCTCGCCCAAGCTGGCCGCGTCGCGTGTGCCCGTGCTGCGCAGACCGAAGATCGGCCCAACGTCGTGGGGGCCGGAAACCGAGTGCCGCCCAAAAGCTGACAACGGTCGTTGTTGGGCAAGCGCCCGCCTGCTTGGCATGCTGTTCCATACGTGCCCTGGCAATCCCCGCTACCGTCCGCCCGCCAGAGGCCACAAGGCACGTCGAATTTCCAGGGCCTGCCGGATGCCTTCGCGCACGGCGGCCCTGTTGCACGCCGCGGCCTGCGGCTATATCGCGATGACGTCCTCCGAGGAGGCGTCCTCGGGAGGCTCGGTCTCGCGATGGCGCCGCCCGGAGACCGAGCTGCCGCCGTTCACCGGACTCGGGGAGTCGGGCTCGGGGGCCGTGAGCTTCGGGCTGTCGTCGTCGTCGGACTCTTCGGACGCCGCCGACTCCTCCTGGCACGCCCGAGAGGTATGTGGAGAAGCATTGGGCGCAATGCCCAGCAGCGAATGTTGTCCGAAGCCGACAGCTGCCGCTGCCGCTGTTGGGCGGGCGATTTGTTGTCCCAAGCGGGCACCGCCGGCGTGCGGTAGCTCCGACATTGGGTCCTGCTCATCATGATGAGCAGGAGCTGCTGCTGGTTTCTGCTCCCATTCTCCCCATCCCAACTTCGATCGTCACCGTTGCCCCTGGACCTCTCCCGGGGTGATCTGATGGGCAGGCGGAAGCAGAAGATAATTGCCGCGCTGCGCAGCAAATGATGCTAAGCATGGCAGACAACGGATCAACGATATCTTCCGTCCAAAAACAGCAGCGACCTCTCTTGCGAAGGCAGCATGGTATCCCCAATGGACACCGTCCGCGATAACAACCATAGCGAGTCGTATTCAGAAAGCGCCGATCGGGATCTGCTGTTCTTCTGCATCCCCATTCTCTCTGTCCCAAATTCGATCGTAACCGATACGATACGGCTACTCCCTAGACCTCCGCGGCAACACCGCTGGCGAATCCTTATCAAAAATGGCCGGATCTGCTGCGGGTCGTCGTCCCCATCCGTTCCGTCCAAACTTCGATCGTAACAAACCCGGCTGCTCCCAACACCTCGTCAGAGATACACTCTGGCGAGAATTTCGGGGAGAATGCAGCCGTGGTCACGAGGGCTCTCCAAGACAAACAGGGGCATCGGTGCCTTCTCCTCCTCTGACTCCGACGCCCAAAATGGATACGAGACAACATGCACGATGCTCTCCGTACCTGCAACACCGACAACGAACCGAGATCAAAACGGGCAACCCTGCTGTTTGGACGCCCGAAATGGGTACGGAACGAATGGGTATAATGCCCAACAACAAAAGTTGTCCAAAACCAACAGCGGCCGCTGTTGGGCGGGCGGCCTTCTGTCTCAAATGGACACAGGCCGCGGCGGCGCGGGCAGCGAGTCCTGTTCAAAATGAACAAGAACTGCTGTTGGGCATCGTACCCATTCTTTTCGTACCCATTTCGGGCGTCCAAATGCTGATTTTCGTCTTCATGGATACCATCTGCCGCTACTCCTCGGTCCGCTCACGAGATTTAGCTCGAACCACAATCCGGAAGAAAAGCCAACCACGGCGATGAGGGCTCTCCAGGACGAACGGCGGCATCGGTGTTCATATAGATTCCTCTTCTGAATCCACGCCCGAACTGGGTACGGGAAAGTAGGCATGATGCCCGAGCGCTAATGTTGTCCAAGCCCGATCGCGGCCGCTATTGGGCAGGCGGCTCTGTGCCCCAAATGGGCACCGTCCACGGCAATACTGACACCGAGCCATGTTCTTCAAGGTGAGCAGGTACTGCTTCTGGTCTTCTCCTCCTTCTCCCCGTCCCGACGTCAAGTGCAACCGGTGCGGATCCCCTGGGGTGGGCTATGGCAGACTTTTCAAGGAAAAACAAGCCGTGGACACGAGGGCTCTCCAGGACGAGCAGCGGCATCGGTATTTTCCGTTCCCTCGACTCCCAGGCGCGAAGACGACCGCGCCTCGCGCAATGCGGGGCACGCTGCGCGAAGGTACGTGACCCAGATCCTTTCCCTCTCCCTCTGCTTCGCTCCCGCCTCTCTCATCTCGATCGCATCGATCGTGCTCCGTGCCCTGGGACTGCACCCTGGGATCAGGATCAGTGCAGACGCCCACCTGACCAGAGCGGCAGGGCGCGTACACCGATCCCAGGCCAAAGATCGGCCTGGACAGGATCGGTGTGCACGCCGTCATCTTGCTTCTACTTCTTTTGCCATTGTGTTGTGATTCATGTCCTGCTTCGTCTTCGTTTTCGTCGTCTTAGGGAGGAGGCAGGAGGACGGATACTGATGAGAGAAGAGAAAAGGCTCGGAGGGAACACCAGGGGGGGACCGGCTCAGGGGAGGAACCATCGACCTGAAATCGGCGAGACATCGCCGATGGACCAGCGATATGCCCCCGATAGCGAGTCCCCACGCTCCTGGACGGGGTGGGCTATCGGGCCCCTTTCGGCGATGAATGGGCCATTGGGGGTCGATGCATCCCACCATGAGCCTAGCCCCCCGTAACGTTGCCCCTAAGGAGTGCAGGTGTGCACCATCAACACCCATCTCGATCCTGCTCAGATTTCTGGGGTTGGACCGGGGCGAGGTCGTCGGAAGAGTCGACCATCGCAGCGTTGGACGAGGTGGTGTTCTTCCGGGCGGAACCTCGCCGGAGGAGGCCGAGGTCGATGCTGTTGGTGGTGGACCTTCTCAGGCCGCTCCTCTCGGGGGGGCCAGCAACCCCGGAGGCCTTGCCGACCGACGGCTCTTCTCCAGTCAGACCTGCGGGGACTGGGCAAGGAAGGTCGAGTCAGAGCTGCACGCGGACCGGCGCAGGTCCAGGCAGACCGAGGGAAGCACCACAGACGCCCAGACAAAATCAGGAGAAATCGTGCAAACTCCAACGCAGTAGCCGAGGAACAGCGGAAGCCGTGAGGTCCTGAGAAGGGGAGTAGCACACACAACATAGCACGACAAATACTACAACAACAAGAAGAACAGCAGCAGCAGCAGCAGCAACAGCAACAGCAACAACTATCATTGTAAGACTGTTCGCTCTTACTTGCCAGTGTGCCATTCAATACGAGTTCCCCACACCCTCGATACCCGCTCTTTTTGTCTTCGATCACACCCCCTTTGGGGGGATTATTTCTTTTTGCGGAGGGCGGCGGGCTTAGACAGGCGGGCAAACCTGAACGGGCGGACGATCCTTCGTGGGCGTGCATGTGCCCGCCATTGGAATTGGTGTGGGCCCTGCAAAAAGAGGAGGGGGAGAACGAGGGAGAGTGGGAGGAAGAGCGAAGGGGGGGCGGTTGATTCGAGGCAGAGAGAGAGAGAGAGAGAAATAAAGAAAGAAAGACAGATAAGAGAGGTAGAGAAAGAGAGAGAGAGAGAGGGGAGAGAAAGAAAGAGGGAGGGAGGAGGCAGGAGAAGGGAGGGAGAAGGGAGGAGGGAGAGGAGGCATCCTTGAGGTATGAGGGAAAAGAGGAGGGAGAGAGAAGGGAGGAGAGGTGGGAGAGAGAGGAGGGAGAGAGAAGGGAGGAGAGGAGGGAGGAGGGAGGAGGGAGAGGGAGGAGGAGCAGGAATGTAAAATCGTGAACTTTCGAGGGAGTCCTAGGCGAAAGCGCCGTTCCTGAAGGAAGTCTCGGGCGGGAGGCCACGACGGGCGGGCGATCCAATGACGGGCGGGTCGGGAGGGTGGGACATTCAAGCGGGATGCCTGAGTATGGCGAGAGCGCGATTACTAAGTAAATTGTAACGGCGTCCTTGGCGAAGGCGCCACTTCTGCATGGAAGTCACAGGCGAGAGCGCAATTCCCGAATAACATGTGAGGGGTTCTCTGGCAGGAGAGGGGGTCTTGATTAAATTGCGAGGAAGTCTTGGCTCAATTGCGAGGAAGTCTCAAGCGGGAGCGCCGTTCCTGAGTAAATGATGAGAAAGTCTCAGATGGGAGCAGGGGTCCTGACGAAATTGCGAGGAAGTCACAAGCGGAAGCACCGATCCTGAGTAAATTGTGAGGAGGTCTCAGGAGCGGCGGTCCTGAGTAAACTTGGAGGAAAACTCAGGCGGGAGCCGTTGTTGTTGTTGTAATCCGGGGGACCAGAGCCCCAGTTTAAGCAGGCAGACTTCCTGTCAAAACAACAGGGTGCGAGCGTCGAGGGGCACACTTTGATTGAGAAAAAATAATATGCACTGGTGAGGGGGATCAACAATACTTAGTCTTCAGAAATGAAAGTTCAACAGCCGCAACCTCAACAACAACCACAACAACAGCAACAGCAACAGCAGTAGCATCAGCAGTAGCAACAACAACTTCAACACACATACTCATGTTAAGACTGTTCGCTCATAGAGGCTCCTAAGACGGCTCCAAGAACGCGCCCAGACGAGGGACCCGAAAGGACATTTCGAGCTCTAGGCGCAAAGAGGTCCCCTGAAGGCCCCAAGTGGCCCCCAAGAAGACCCCAAGAGGCCCCCGAGAGGCCCCAAGAGGCCCCCAAGAGGCCCCCAAGAGGCCCCCGTGACGCCCCAGGAGGTCCCAGAAATTCCGCCAAAAGGCCCAAACATATATTTCAAAATGCCCCCAAACGGCCTCCAAAAGGCCACTAACGCACAGGTAAACGCCCGCGATGGCACAATATGGGCCGGCGGAGTGAGCGAAGCGATTGGAACCCTGTTGAGACTGTTCGCTCGTATGCACTCTCGTGCCACTCAACACGTATACCCCAAACCCTCGGTACCTGCCCTCTTCGTCTGATCATACCCCCTTGGGGGTATATCTTCCTTACCTGGTACGTGCATTGAGCGCAGCCCCTAAAACAGCAGAAGAAAGGGCGGATGGAAGGGGGAGCGAGAAGGACGGAGCACGAGAGAAATTAGCAGGAGGGGGGCTGGGAGCGAACACGCGCGGCAAAACCAGACGGGCAAACCAGGCGGACAGACCCTAGCGGGCGGGTCGGAAAAGCGGGCCCAGGCGGCCAAGTCGAGCAGGCAAGTTGCTGAAGCGTGCGTCCTGCATGAATCGCGAGGGAATCTCAAGCGGCACCGTGATCCCCGAGGAAACCGCAAGAAAGGGCCAAAGCGAGAACGTGATTCCTGAGTGTCGAGGGCGCGCGTCTAAATAAATTGCGAGTGAGGGAATCCCGCGAGAGACCTCGATTTTTTTGCACATTGAAAGGCAGCACTTTACATGGAAAATGCAATGGTTACCAGAGGGTGATCAACACTGCTTGATATGTATAAATGAGAACGCAGCAACAACAGCAGCAGCAACAATAAACAGCGTGTTACGACTGTGTGCTCTCATCTGCTTACATGCTCACGGGCCAGGGGCATAATTTGGTGACATCTCGCTTCCCGTTGTGAAAAGCACGGTGCGACACGCTGGGGAAGCACTTGGATTGAAACGTGGAACTTGTAGTTGTTGTTTTAGAAATAAAAAACTCTTCTTCGACAGCAACAACAAGTCAAATGTTGTTCGCTACTATCTGCATGCGTGCCATTCAACTTGTATGTCCCAAACCGACGATACCCGCCCTAGCTGTCTTCGATCGTGCCCCTGTAGGGGTATATCTTTCTTACCTGCATCGTGAATTTCGTGCAGCCCCTAAGGCAAAGGGAGAGAGGACGGATGGAAGGAAGGGACCAAGGGCAGGCGGGTTGCTGAAGCGTGCGTCCTGCACGAATCGCGAGAAACTTTCGAGTGAGACCGCGATTCCCAAGTGAATCGTGGGGAAATCCTCAGCGAGAGGGTGATTCCTGAGTGTCGAGGGCGCGGTGCCTACATGAATTGCGGGAAGTCCCAAGCGCGAGCGCGATTCCTGTATACATTGTCAGGATATCCCGCGCGAGAGCGCGATTTGGGAATACAGTGTGAGGAAGTATGTGGTGGGAGCCGTTGTTCTTGTATACCGCGGTCCAGGGGCACAAGTTGGTGACACCTCGCTTGCCGCTGTTTTTTTCAAACAAAAAAAAAGGTGCGCCCCTGGAGAAGCACTTTCGTTGAAACATACAACGGTTACAGGAGGGGTATCAACAAGAAATGTTCTAAAGAAATTGCAAATCTACTTCAACAGCATCGACCGTCAGTTTAATAGTGTTCGCTCTTATCTGCGCGCGTGCCAATCAACACGTATATCCCAAGCCCTCGATACCCGCCCTTTCCGTCTTCGATCGTACCAATTTGGGGGATTATATTTCTTACCTGCAACGTGTATGTCATGCAGCCCCTACGGCAAGGGAAGAGAGCGATAGCGCGATTCCCAACGAAATCGCTAGACATGCCAAAGCGAGGGCGTGATTCCTGAATGTCGAGAGCGCGGCGTCTGAATACGACAGAAATCCAACGCGAGAGCGCGATGTCTGCATAACTTATGCGGACGTCCCGCGCGAGAGCACGATTTGGGAATACACTGTGGGGAAATATCAGGCGGGAGCCATTGTTGTGACTGTTGTTGTTGTAACTCGACTGGGGGTCCAGGGGCCCGATTCTGAGACCCAAGGCGTCCCCTTGTTAAACATTACCCCAGTGCGACCCTACCTAGAAGCTGGAGCCCCTAGGAAAGCAGCATTAGTTGCTGTGCTATACTATGCTATGCCATGCTATGCTGCGCTATGCTATGCTATGCTATGATATGCTATGCTATGCTATGCTGCGCTATGCTATGCTATGCTATGCTAAGCTGTGATATGATATGCTATGCTACGCTATGCTATGCTGCGCTATGCTATGCTATGTTATGCTATGATTGGCTATGGTATGCTATGCTATGCTATGCTAATGCAGCGCTGCGCTATGCTAAGCTAAACTAAGCTAAGCTAACCCTCTGGGTCGAGCCTAGGTAGGAACTTACACCCATGCTAATGATCTTGCTTTGCTTTGCTTTGCGTTGCTTGTGCTTTGCTTTGCAGTCGCTGCTGTTTTGTTGCCTTTGCTTTGCTGCTATGCTCTGCTCTGCCATGCTATGCTATGCTGCGCAGTGCTATGCTGTGCTGTGCTGCGCTATGATATGCTGTGCTATGCTATGCTGTGCTATGCTATGATATGATATGCTGCGCTATGCTATGCTACGCTACGCTATGCTGTGCTCTGCTATGCTAGAGCTCAGCGAAGCTAGCATGAAGGTAAGCTACGCTAAGAGACGCCTGAGCTAAGATGAAGCTAAGCTAAGCTGAGATGAAATAAGCTAAACTAAGATGAGGTAAACAACGCTAAGCTAAGGGGACGTAACTGGGGGAACCGCGGGGCGGATCCTGGGGGAACCGCCGGGGGCGATTTCCACTGCCCGGCCCCTTTAAGATAGAGAGTAAGAACCCTTCTAGGCAGAGCCGAGGTAGGGAACAGGGTGCGGGCCCCAGGACGGGCATTTCAATAAACAATTGAATCACTACTAGTTCTTCTTCAGTACTGAGAGTTCGTCGACAACGACGACGACGACAACAACAACAGCCGTTTAAATACTGTTCGCTCTTATCTGGGTGCGTGCCATTCGACAAACCCTCGATACCCGCCCTCCCCGTCTTCGATCGTACCTCCTTGGGGATATGTATCTTTCTTACCTGCAGTATGTATTCCGTGCAGCCCCTAAGGCAGGGGAAGAGAGGACGGATGGAAGGAACGGACAAGGGGGAGGGAGGAGGACGGAGCACGAGATAGAGTAGCAGGAGGGGGGCTAGGAGCAGAGCGCACGTGGCAGAACCAAACGGGCAGATCGGGCGG